TGTCGCTCAGCCGAACGCTCCGTTCGCTGAGCCCATCACTCGTCGTGCCATGACTCCTCCCCCGCGTGCTCCTCCCCGGTTCCGAAGCAACACTGCCACTGGTCCTCGTGGCCCGCACATGTCAAACGGCTCCATGGCTTCCTCACAATATCCACCTCCGCGTGGCATGTCTTCAATGAGCGGACGCTTGCCTCCGCCAATGAAGAAGCCGCTGCCTCCTCCATCCGCTTTGTCCTCTCTCCCAACACCCGCTAAGCTTACCGAGAGCTCCATGGTTTTCGACGCCGCCGACTTTGCACCGCCAGTCTCGTTCCGCGAGAGGCAAAACGGCGTACGACCTGACAGCCCTCTTGGAACTCCCAGGCCATACAGCCCGGCCGTACGACCACACACACCCCTCGTCGGATCCTACGACGAACTGCCAGCGCTACCCAGTCCCTACTTGATGCGCAAGTCGGGTACCTTCACTGCGCTCGATTTCGCACCACCTGCTCGTATACGTGACCCTGCCGGTGGCGGTGCCTCAGATGCTGGCTCAATCCGATCAAATCACTCTGGCATCTCGGCAGTTGGCCGATTTGCTGTTCGCAGCGGAGCCAACCGTGTCAGCAGGATACCCAGGGACGTTCTGGGTACCAAGGATGACTTCATGGTGCAATTAAAACCCAGGATGAACATGGTAGAGGGCGCCTAAACTAGTCGCGACTTCCTCAGCACACATCTTTGACGACAGACATCCTGCTCGCTGGCTGAGCTTTCCGCACACTCGACCGAACATTAAAAGCTCATTATGTCAACTTGTTCTCTGTACACTGCTTTTTAGCGGCCTTGATGATTTCCTTGGTATCGTGGCATAGACACAGCGCGCGTTGGCTACTCTCCATCTTCACATCACAGCAACAACCTGTACAGACGGTCCGTCTAGTACGCTTTCCTATTTTTCTCCATCGCGGTTGTGCAACGAATGACCGGCAGATTACTCGTTTCTAGGGCGGTTTAGCGATGGGCTGGCGTTTACCAATGTCTAATTTTTATTCTTCTGCGTTGCTGCGACATGGCGAAGTTGAGATGTGGAGGGCAGCTTGGTGGTTTGGAGACCGTGGAGGCTTGAGTGATTGTGGAACATCTAGCAGAGCACATAGAGGAATGGAAAGAAAAAACATTACTTGAAGCGCATCGTACTGGCCACGCGTGATGTTGTGCATCAGACGTAACTAGTGATGCTAGCCGCCCGAACACGAGTTTGTCAAGTAAGGAGCCTCAACGTCGAGCCATGCAATAGTGTGGATTCGCGATGCCCCCTCTGCTGTCTGGCCGCGCAGATCCGAAGCCTAGCGCAATTTCGCATCCTTCCGCATCCGCCTGCGCCATCATCGAGAGAATTATCCACGTATGTAGATCATCGACGCCGCTCCTCTATTACCCGCGAAAATCTCACTCTTACATACATTGTCCTCCATTTTATCCACACCATAGTAGAGCATGCACAGCCACACAGTAGCCAACTCCACCCCCAAAGATGACCAGTAAACAGTGCCCAGCGCGACGTCATGACCAGCCACGCACGCGCGTACCGGCCAGACCTTGCTCATAGCAAACGTGCGCCACGCCGGTGCTTCAGTCGCGCGCAATGATTTGCCCTCTGGTGTCTTAGGCGCGTGGCCTAGTGCCGATGAGTGTCGTTGGTGAGAAGGGCGCCGCGTCGCCAGCGCCTTCTTGCGGTGTCTAGTTTTGCTGTTAGGGGTCCTGTACGTCATAGCTCGCGATCTTCGACCAGGCTCCATAAAATACACGACTGCTGCTGCTGCACGCGCGTAGGAGATTGCGTTGCCCCGGATTCAAGGCATTCTTGGCCTGGATATTCAATCGACGAAACGTTTCGGATCTTCGCTCTCTACGTCGTTCGTCTGAGGCCCTGTCATTGCTTGTTCACTTTCTTCTCTCACAATCCTCCGCTGCAGCACGCCTTGCTTCTTCTCCCTCTCAACGCCTGGAAATTCCCGAGTCGTCCATCATGGGCATCTTCTCGCGTCGCCGCAAGTCGGACGACACCGCCGTCGCGCAAACCGCCCCAGACCTCAGCAAAGAACAAATCAAGCGCGCAACTCGCACGCGCAAAATATGGGCGCTCATCACATCCTTCTTCCTCTTCATCACACTCATCTTCCTGATCCTCGTCAACATTTCTGGTGTACGCAACAAGGCCGTTATTAAGAACTGGTACTTCATTCGCCTCGACCTGAGCCACATCGTGCCTGCCAGCGTACCGAATTTCGCTCTTATCAACACTATCGCGCAAACGCTGGGACTGCATGATTTCTATCAAGTTGGGCTATGGGGTTTCTGCGAGGGATACGCGGGTGAGGGCGTGACTTTCTGCAGTGAGCCAAAGACGCTATACTGGTTCAACCCTGTGCAAATCCTGCGTAATGAGCTTCTTGCTGGGGCTTCGAGTAAGTTGCTTCACATCCCGAGTCTTAGATATCACGCATTGGAAACAGAGTAATTAACATGCATGTCTACAGTCAACCTTCCCGCCGACATCAACGACATTCTCGACCTTATCCACCTCGTCTCCAACTGGATGTTCGGTCTCTTCCTCACCGCAACAGTCCTGTCTTTCGTCCTCATCTTCGTCATGCCCATCTCCATCTACACGCGCTGGCTGACTCTCGTCGTCGCAATCCTCGCCTTCCTCAACGCCCTCTTCGTAACCGTCGCCTCGGTCATCGCAACCGTCATGTTCATCATCTTCCGCAACACTATTGGTGGTGTGGCTGAGCTAAACATATCGGCAGAGATAGGCACCACCCTCTTCGCCTTCATGTGGGTGGCAAGTGCTTTCGCCATCTTTGCCTGGCTCGTACAGATGGGACTTTGCTGCTGCTGCGCCTCAAGGAGAGATGTCAAGAAAGGCAAGAAGAGAGGAAATGAGAAGGCGTACCACATGGACGCGGCTGGCACAGAGGCAGGCGGCATCAGGGACACCAACGTCGTCGCCGGCGAAGCCAACGAGAAGCCACAAAAGAAGAACTACCAGTTTTGGAAGCGTGGTTAGGAACCTCTTCCATCAACTTCAAACCTCTTCGAGCACATTACACGCACAGACATTGACTTGGACACCGAAGTCCTAGAAGCTAGCCCATGACACGCCTAGTGCTGGCTACGCAAAAAGAGAAATTTGGAATCTGTAACTTTCAGCGAGCGCGGCGTTGGTTTGGCATCTTTGGTACAGCTCAGCATAGTACAGCGCAGCGTTGGACTTTTGTATTCGACATGACATGACATTGATCACGGACATATTCCTTCACCCATACATACAACCTAATGATATCGTTATTACAGCTAGAAGACCAATCATGCATTCCTGGATGGGTATCGTAGTCGTGACCGTCCCATGACTTAACTCCAAAACTCGCAGCTTATCTGTATTCAATTTGCTTTCCCCTGTGCAGCACCCTTGTTCATCTTCTCCAACGTATCCATGTCGATGATTCTTAACTCTGTCCTCGCCCACAGGATGATCATGCATATTACGCCCGGCAAGAAGCCTCCTCCCACCATGAGCCCTTCACCCCAGCCACGCGCCTGCCAGACTTCATACAGCGCCAGTAGCCCACACACGGCCCTGTTGATTGGCACAATAGAATCCGCTATCTTGTCCGCTGCCTCTTCTGATATGTACGGTACGGGTCGTCTCACACTCTTCTCAGTCGGTTGTTCCCAGGAAGGGGTCTTATTGTAGATTCCATATCCACCCAAAGGTTTCTTAGCCTGCCCCTTCCCTTTTGATGGTTGTTGGAGTGTCGAGGGTGTGACGTCCACGCCATCGATTGGCTCCATTTGCGTCGGCGGTAGCGGCAGGAAATATAACGTATACGCTGTTGCTAGCATACTCGCGATAGAGACTAGACTGATCGGGAGGGTGGACAAGGCGAATAGCCGCGGGATGTAGAGGAGTGTGGGGAGTAAGGGTAGTGCGAGGAGGAAGAGCGTATATGTGTGCGTCGTGGATGTGTCGTGTGTGCTGAGGGTTTGGAGGAGGGCTGCGCGGTCTGTGTAGTTCTGTCAGCAAGGCGGGGATTGGGCATGGAAGAGAGGGAAGGGTACCTTGTTCGTCCATACCCGCTTCTACGGTATCTTCATCGTCGGATTCGGACGGGTACTTGAACGTCTTGCGCAGGCGTTGCGCTGCTACTGTTTCGGCTTCCTTGAGTTTCTCCATCTTTTTCTGCGTCTTTTGCGCGAGTTGGTACGGGGTTTGAATTATTCGTGGACGTGTGTGTATGTTGTGTGGGAGAGGATTAGACGAAATTATGTGTTAATAGAGGCCGGGTGATTGAAAGGTGGCCTTTCGTGGCTACCTGCGCGCGCACGGCAAGGCAACCAGGTTGTTGGACTGTTTGGGTCGGCGGAACGGATGACGACGTTTGTGGGGGAGATCTGGACCTGGACCCTGGGATTAGCGCGCTGGACCTGCATGCATCATCTTCGACTGTATCACTCGACTTTACAACCATCACGGTAGCGTCTCTGTTTCTCTCATCTACGTTACAAATCTCTAGCTAGGGTAATTTCCCATCCATCATGGGCGGTTCATCCTGTTTATTTCTCTCGAGATCTTCTCCACCAACGGAATGCAGTCTCACGTGCCTCCGACGAGGCCCAGCTGGTGCCTGATTGATCCATGTTTGCATGCCCGCGCACACAGATATCGCGGTCCAAATAGCAACAGCAATTGCAAAAACTACGAGCGATTTTTGGGACTGCAGCCTGGGACTTCGCGTAGAAGCTGAACTATAAATTGGTCTAATCTTTTGTCCTGTTGGGAGCTTTATCTTCTCCATCCCCATCTCTTAGATTTTACTTATCTTCACAAAAGAATATCTGTTGCTGCTCCTACGTAACGCGACCCGCCTATCTCCCTTCAGTTTCTCCAGCCCTAATCCACGCTTCTTGCGCAGAAACATCCCACCTCCTCAACCACCTCGAAGCACAACATGCCTCTGGAACTCCAACGCTTGCCAAGCACACGAGAGCTAAGATGCATCGCTAATCTGAACCATCTAGACGACACCCTGAGTATGCTGAGCGACGCATCTAGCGACGAGAAATCCAGTTGCCATCTTGCTCTTCGAGACCAAGCCCTTCCCTCCGGGGGTCCTAACGCTGCGGATATTCCACCAGATACACTGTGTCGATTCTTTGAGCTCCTTCCACGCGAGATCAGAGACGAGATCTATCGCTACGCACTCGGAAATATCTGCGCTACCTTTATGCACGGCAAGACTCAGGTAAGAGTAAGGCATCACATTCACAAAGGACCTATTATAGATACTTATAAAGCGCAAATCCCGTGGATGCGGGCGAGCAAGCAGATGTACCAGGAGGCTACCGAGCAGTTTTATCATCTGGCTCGCTTTGAAATGGACTTGGACATGCGCTACAGGCTTCTTCACGTCAAAGACGTCATGCGACGGGTTAAAGTACGCCACGCTCCCACACTTATCCGCGCGAGATTCCTTTCAGTAGTGAATCTGACCGTAGGAACTCTTCGCCAAACGGAAAGCTTGGTCGAGACACTGCATTTCGACGCAGAAACCGAGCAGTACAAAGCGCTAACCAATCTCTTCCCATACATGGTTGCATTGCGGCAACTTGAGATCCAAATGAAACTCAAGGTCCCGCCATGTGATGAATTCTGCGATGCCGAGTACCGACCCTCACTCTCATTCCTCAGAAGTCTACCTCGTGCGTCACTGGCAAAATTACGCGTCGAAATCGAGTGTGCTTATAGGACATACGCTTGCGACTCCATCGCTTGGACGCTTGCCGCGAATAACGTCGCCAGTAGGCTCTCTGATCCTCTTAAGAGAGAGATCGAAAAGTGCACACTGCATGCAGTTAGGGGAGACGGTCATCAGTGGAAAGAGTGGAAGGAGGAGGCAATCCAGAATGTGGTTCGATGGCGTCACCAATTTCTTACCCATCTCACGCTAGGTTTTGAGATCACTATGGCCAACTACAGGTGAGTACGATGTCTGAACAGTACTTTGGCAGGCATATGACTGTTTTGCTATGGCTAATTTGAAGATTGCGCGTCACATTCCATAGAAAACTGCATCCTATAGTACTGCGCTGACGGAGAGAGTCACGACTTCCGAAATTTATGTATCACAACCATCCTTTCAGGTCTCTCAGAGAAAGAAGTATCGCGAACACAAGAACTAATCCGCGGTAGCGTAGTTGATAATATCCCGTGAAGGTCTTGGTCTTGTTTTGCGACGACGGTAAAGCGAGCTTCCAGAAGACAAGATTGCCATGCCTGTCAATCTACTCGGCTCTGGCTTATCACCTTTAGCTGCCTGATGTCGTGACTGTGCTCCAAATAATTAAGGTGAGACTGACTGTCTTTGCGCTAGCTCCGTTTGCTCGTCTCCACCCAGGCCCTACAGCTTTTCGACCTGTAGGCGTGCCGACCAACACTTAACTCCCACACTAATCCACAATCATGAACGCCGATACCGTCATGAGATATTCTGGTATCTTCAAGGACAAGTAAGCAAATCAAATCCTGGGGTTCTTCCTTTACTGATCTCCCAGGACAACCAAGAACCAGCGCGATTCACCTCTACTTCATCTCCCCGCCGAACTCCGCAACAAGATCTACGATTTAGTATGCTCAAACACTCAAGTCCGCATAAGAACGCCACATCCAGCCGTTCCTACTCGCAATCACCGAGGAGCTCTAGCACTATTGTCTACCTGCCGCCAACTCCGCCATGAAGCACACTCAACATTCCACACAATGACTGTATTCAAAGTCACCACCTTTGTTCTCGATCAGCTGAAGAAGAGCGATTTTGTCCTCAACTCGGAGCTTTGGAATTCAATCCAATCGATTCAGGTGCGCGGTCCAGAGGCGGAGCGATGGTGCTATGTTGCAGGTGCAGATATCAATAGTGGCAAGTTTCTGGGAAAGCTGTCTGGAGACCACATGTACATCGGCTTTCTTCCATCACTCCGGAATGTTCTTTTGGTCTACAATATTTATAAGGACGAAGCCTCTTGGGGACTCAGCTACCATGCCATCGCTGACACTCTGAGATTGGCTTTTGGGAAGAAGAGTCTTTGCATACAGACTCAGGCCGACTTTTCAAGTTAGCCTCTTGGGTAGACGGCCTGGAATTTGAGGCGGTGCAGAGAAGTATGTCCGGCGACTAAATGAAAAGGTTCCTGATCAAGCAAATGCGAAGACGCGTGCACTGTCCAAATCATGTAGTAGCTGAGCACCCAAACATCCAAATTCACCTGGGTAGACCGCATGACGCCTCCCTTCCCACTTCTCATACTGCGCTCACCTATACCTATCGCTAGGCCTACCACAAAGCCCTAGTCATCTTCCAAGCCTGTTGCACATTTGCTGAAGGACGTGTTAGGCGGTACGCATCGCATTCCACAAGCAGGGTCTCTCGGTTGAGCTCTACGAGTGAACAATCAGCGATCGAGACACCCAAAGAGTGCAACATTCGGAATCTGGCTTACTAAATTCATCGTTATCTTAGCTGCGTAAGCCACCACTAGCTGGTTTCGATAGGAGCATTATCGCGGCGATCGATGATCACAGGCTACGAGATAGTTCAACTTCAGGCTAAAGCCGTAAGCAGCAGCACCAACAGTAGTTTACTGCACACAAATACACATCGAATTAATTCGTTCGAAGTTCTCGAATGGCTTATTGACTGTCGAAAATATAGATCAGGTGGACAGAAGAGCGAAGTCGGCACAGATCGAGTTTGGGTGAATTCAACATGTAGCAGCATGCACGATGGCAAACAACGACCAACTGGACAACACTATTCCCATATTTTGCACAGCAAAGATACCTCGCGATGTTAAGACCCCGATCCAATCTCAGAAAATATGCAGACGACTAACATGTTCTTCAGCTTCTTAACGAGTTCTTCATTGAAGCATTTGAAGCCCCCGAACTAAAGGCCGTGGAATGCACTCACATAGGTAAACGGAACAAGTACACTCTCAAGCAAAACACATGCTAATCAAGACCAACAAGCCATTCTCGTCGACACGACCGACACCACCAAACTCACATCACCCACACGCGCCCCAGTGGCGCAAGATCTCTCATACCCGTTCCTAAACTGGGGGCTGGACGATCTCGTGAAGTTCGCGTGGCAATTCGACGGCGCTGAACGGGGCATTGCAGGCACGGAATTCGTCATCATGGATAATCAGACACTTGAAGATAAGACAGTGGTACTCGTCACGCCATCTGAGGGCTACGACAATGTAGAGACGGCGCCTAGATTGACTGCACGATCGGATTTTCGCTCTAGTCTCATCACGCTGAATGTCAAGAGTATGGGAGTCGGCGGTGATGAGCCGTGGGAGGAAGCGGCGGAGCAGGGTGGACGGGTGATTAGACTGTATGACGAAAGGAGTTCAGAGTAGGCCGGGCAAGGAATTATGAAACGGACGACGGATCTGACGCCCAAAAAGACGCGTCCCATTTCATTCTACAGCATTCATCTCCTTCCACTCCCCAGCCGCCTCCTCATAAGTGCAGAACTCCACATCTCCTTCCCACGCCTTCAGCCACTTGATCACCCTCTCAATCATACCAATGACATGCGCCATACCACTGGTATCCGGATGCAAGACCAACGGGAAAACCACTACATCTTTCTCCCCATTACTCTCAAGCATCTCGCTCCTAATCCACTCAAACTTATCTTTCCACATGTTCTCCATAACGCGAACATCGACGTAGCCGTGCGAGTTGGGTGCATTGGGGAGATACTGGAGAGGCGTCATGTCTTCTGTGTACCAGTTTGCCGGAATCTCGACGAGAGTTTTGGCTGTGGGGGCACTGGGTTTAGGCAGGGGTTTCATCCAGTCTTTCGCGGAAGCCTCTTCGGTGTACTTTGGCGCTTTGATGGGTGGGAGATTGGGGAGGTAGTACGGTTTGCTGTCGTGGTGGGAGAGTGAGGAGTCATAGAGGAAAGAGTACTCCTCTAGCAATTCCACGGTACTTTCGCGGAGTTGATAGAGCGGTGCGCGATATCCCAGTGGACGTTTCCCTAGTAGTTCCTGGTAGAGACTTATACAATGCTCTAGAACTTCGCGTTCTTGGGTGGGCGTAAGCTGAGGGGCGCCTTCGTGGCAATAACCGTGTAAGCCTATCTCCGCGCCGCTGCTCTTGATGGCGGCAAACTCTTCTGGGAAAGATTCTGCACTATGCATCGGCACAAACCAGGTTACTTTGTTCGCGATGCCGTGCTTCGCAAAGAGCTTGAGTAGTCGGGGAACTCCGACGTGGCCACTGAAGAAGCCAGTACTGTAGTCCGCGAGGTTGTTATCGGGGTGTTGGCCAGTACCAAGCCAGCCCGATACTGCATCAAAATCCACAGAAAGCAGGATCTTGATCTTCGGTTTCGGTGTTGGTTGAGAACTGCCGAGAGATGACATGGTCGGGACAGCCATTGCTGATGGGATCCTACTAGCTAGAGAGACTCCTTCGGTTGCGGTGCCAAATATCTCGACCTCACCAGTTGCGTTGAGAGATGGTGTTTCGGGCTCGACAGCAGTTCCCTGTGATTTGCGAACTTCTTCCTCGGACCACACAATACGACCTTCCATACCGCCATCCACAGATATGCATTGTCCGGATATATGACCTGCAGCGCGATGACTTGCCAGGAAAGCAGCTGCTCTCGCTACGTCCGTAGGTTGAGCGATTTTTCTGAGCGGCACACTGCAATCGTTAACAAGGTGTCGGAGAGTCAGTATGAGCGTCAGACTCACGTAGCCTCCGCCTCCCTCCACATCTCCCCTGGGTCGTCCAACCTCCCTTCGATCAACTTGGTCTCCACCCATCCGGGCGCGACGGCATTGATCCTCGCGCTCTTATTCAACCTAACAATCTCGTTCTTCACTGTCTTCACAAGACCGTATTGTAGCCCTGCTTTCCCACTCGCATATTCCACATGACCTGCCTGACCGAAGACTCCACACTCGGACCCTGTCACCACGACACTGACATTTTCAACTTGCTTGCCAGTGTCACTTTGTGATTTCTCGATGGATTTGAGAAAATGTTTAATGGTCAGGTACGTGCCACGCACGTTGACAGCGTAGGTACGGTCCCAGAGCTCACTGGGCATATCCCAGATAGGATAGCTGGAAGATTCATCTGTGATACCTGCGTTGGCGCAGAGAATGCTGATAGGCTGTGAGAAATGGTTGATAGCTTGGGATATGGAGTCCTGGATGGAGGCTTCGGAACTGATGTCGCCTTGGACGCAGTGGAGGTTGGGGTTTGTTGAGGCGAGAGGATTTGGGCGAAGATCGTGTGCAGTAACTTTGCAGCCTTGTGCTATGCAGGCGTTAGTGACGGTTGCATGAGAGCAAAAATATCAATTGAGATGATAGCGTTGATTCCTTGTTGTGTAGGCCGAAGCCCTAGAGCGTGCCTTCCACCGCAGGGTGACTTGACAGAGACCCTGAGCCTACCATGGAACCTGCAGGCTTCACTCAATGTGCAAAGACTCTCCGACAACCATCAAAGGCACAAGACCATGACATACCTAGGAACTCATCTACAATCGCACTACCAATTCCTCCGGCAGCCCCGGTAACGAACACATGCAACCCCCCAAGTTCGAGAAACGACATGATGCACCTTGACGACGCCTTCACTGCTTCTGTGGCCAGGCGGTCAAGTTCAGGGTGTTACTCTATCAACTCAGCTCCACAAGATGCGCGCCCGCATACGTAATGTAGCAACAGCCGACCCGGCACCCACGATAAGCCCTACGTTATCACCTTGAGGAGCTTCCGAAGAGGGCAACGGCCAGCACTTGTCGCATACTGTTATTTCTCCGCGCGCAATCGAGGTGGATGTGTATACGTAATCCTGGGTGCAGATGGCGATAGCGAGGCTCAGTTGAGCTTGTGTGAGGGGGTTGTGATCGACCCCTCTTCCGTACACCCCAGCTCGAAGGAGCTGGAGCTAGAGTACGCGAAGAACACTGGGACATCTTCTACGAACTAGCCTAATTCATCAGGCGCCCTCGGTATGAGGTGTCTGCGCCTACGGCCAAACCTCAACAAAAGTAAGACGAGTCCCACGCGCAAGGGCTCGAAGGGCACATCGCGACTCCGTACTTGTTTACTAAGAACGCCACTGTGCCCTTCCGCCCCGCCGGCCCACCCTGACGGACCGTCAAACTGCCCAACGTGGTAATTTTGACAAAATCCATTGATTTCAGATGGCCGAAGGGCACACTGCTAGAGCTTAGGTGACCAATGAATTGGGCTGGTGATCTGCGGGATACGGGTGCGTGCAGAGGGGCACAAAGGCCCGGCCAATTGAGAAGAAGGGTGTGTAGGAGATGTTAGTTGGTCGGGCAGAGGGCGAGGGCACGGGTCGGCGATGATGAATATGGTCGCATACGTGCTTGGAGCTGAATGGGTGATACGTTGGTAGTAATGTTCATTGAGTCCGGCCACTGCATGATTGCAAGCGCAGAATCTCTTGCTCTAGATGATGTAACATGGGCTATTGTGCGCGCTTTGCTTCCCATCTTAACTTTTGTTGGTATCATAACGCCGTGGCTCATGGTTGAATTACAAGGTGATGTCCTCGGTGCGGTAGTGGTCTGCTACGATGCGGTAGAGGTATGAAGGTGCGTGTCCGCCACTAAGAGACATTAGCTTACTTTAAAGGCATCGAGCTGTTCAAATCGCGACTTACAGGTTGGTGATGTAGAGATCCACCAGGTCTGCGGGAACATAGTCGTACAGTGGGTTCTCAACATCGACCTTGTCGACGAATTCGCCGTCGTCGTAGGGAACTACACTTCCGGCGTCACCGTGCTCGATCAGCTCGTCGATGTCGAATGGGTAGACCGGGCTGAGCTTGTATACACCACTGAGCACGACAACAGGTGTCTGATGTTCCTTTGCAGCTTTTGCAATCATGTGTGCTCCAGCTGCGGCTACCAGACCGCCGTTGGCTAATACTGTATGGGTCGCCAGAATGACCTTGTTGACGCGGGACATTATGGCAAAGACATGGGAGTCTGGGATGACGTAGACTTGGATACCAGCATCGGTGAGGGGCTTCCACTTGTCGTCGTCCTCGTCGTCATCCGGATTCGCCTCTCGCTTCTTGCCTGTAAGAAGGATGCCATGCGTAGCAGTGTGGTCGTGAGGATACGTCTCGGCGTGCACGACTGTGAACTTGCGCTTTCGTGCGGCGAACAGAAGGAACTTCTGGACTGTCGTGGACGCGGTGTGGGTGAGGATGATTTCGTTGGCGTGGATGTGCTCGAGGGCGACTTCGGCAATCTGCTTGTCTGAGGTTTCGAGCTCGTCCTGAAGTTCTCTTATGCCCTCCATGACCTCGCCCTTCAGGTCCAGATTTTGGCTCTTGTTGATGCCCTCGAGGCGCTCCAGATTGAGTGCCGTCAGCGTGCTCTTGCCGTTTGGCGACGCCTGCCCTGTGGGGGTGCTTGTAGTTGAGGGTGTATCCGCTGGCTGGGAGAAGAGGCCAAAGAGCGAGTGGACGAGGGGAGCGGACGAGGTAGGCGCGTACGAGGTGTGTGAGGTGAGCAACGGGGGCCGTCTCGAGGGTTCGCTAACGTCGGAGGCGTTGTCGGTGAAGACGCTCGTGGGCATGGGTTCGGCGACGGCATGCCGGAGAGGGCTGAATGTGGATATGCTCGAGTTGAGCGCTGGTCTGTGGAGAGAGTCGTGCTGCGCGTGTGCATGTGGTGTTGAGTAGCCCGGCTCGCTGCCTGTTGGTGTTTGCCCTTCGGCATGCTCGTCGACCACTTCGCGCACCAGTCCCAGTACGCGCCGTACGATGTTTCCCACCACCACCTCGTGTGGTTGCGCCGATGTCAACCGCCTGCCGACTTGCTTTATGCGCTCAATGAGCTTGGCGGCGTCCCTGCCCTTGAACTCGCCCACTACGCGCAGAAGAAGGGCCGTCGTCGCAATAGCGCATGGTCTCGAATTCCGTATCTGTCGTCGTTTGAGGAGTCTGAGGTAGGGATATTAGTTGAGGTCGCGCTGCTGCGCGGAAAGTCATATCTCACGAGATGAAATGCTCCACCGAGGCATCTACTGGAGTACTCTTTAGTGACTTCAGGTAGGTTGACAGACCCGGCGCCTGTACCGTCGCGCCCTGCATCGTGGGGATATTTGCAGATTTGTACTCGAGAGTCCCAAGATTTCGAACGGTATATGGCAGTTATGTGGGGTGGTGGGGTTGTTCCTGGATGACTCTGCGGGTGTCTGTGTGCGTTTGAAAGGGTTCCAGACAACCAATATAATTTTAGGGGTTCAAAGTATCGGCCACGCGTGTTTTGTTTGTAAGGCACTGTTGGGGAGAGTTGCTTGTTCAAGACTTGGTGGAGGGAATGTGTGAGTCGTAACTAAATTGA